CCTCGAGTAAAATAGCGTATCGCAGAGTTCAAGTATTTAAAAAATTACAGAGATATATGTCGAAAAAAACTGACTACACAGGAGTCGTACAAAATGAATCCCTAACCTTATGAATGTTAAAACTTAACCTAAGACAGAAAAAAACACGAAGAACTTAGAAAAAATTTGCAAATTTCACACTGATCATATTTGTGATCGATTGACGCCACTTTGGTCAAAGTCTACGTTGTTGCGAGACCTCCGTGGGTGTAAAATCATGACACAATTATTTCGATAACGTAACATGTAACCATTCATCTCTCTAGCGCTCGAGTACTTCAAACTGCTCACCGACAAGGAGCACATGCAACACTCTTGCGGTTACTATGCCAACGGGGCGACGACTTATGCCGAGTCGCAAGTCGAGAAGCTGAAACTGATCGCATCCAAGCTCCAACTTAAACCGGGGATGACGCTTTTAGACGTTGGCTGTGGCTTTGGCGGTCTCGCGAAATTCATGGCGGACAAGTTTGGCGTCACCGTCGAGGGAGTCACGGTTTGTGACTCGATGGCCAAGCAGGCACAGAATCACTGCCGGGGGAGCAAAGTAACCATCAAGAATCAGCACTGGAGAAGAATGGAGGGAAAATTTGACCGCATTGCGATCATAGAAATGATGGAACACGTCGGGAAACAAAATTGGGATGAATTTTTTACAATAATCCAATCACTACTGAAACCGGGTGAGTAGTACTCTAAATCCAGGAAAGATTTAACTTTTTGAGAATACTGAGAAACAATGCCACTGTCACTATCAAAGTTCCCCAGCTGCATCATTTGAGGGAATTTGAGACTGACAGTGGCGTAGTTTGTCAGAATTCTCCATTTCTGTAAAAGTTCAATCTAGCGTGGATTTAGAGTACGTATGTATATGATTTTTAATGATGAGTCATCTCATCCCGCCGGTCTCAACCTGCCACTTGTGTTCTGTTTCCTTCGAATAGTTAGATGGAAAAAACTATAATTAACCTCACTGAACCCATAAATCCATCGGAAAAATTCCCTTGAATACGAGATTGAATTCATAACTACATCTTGTAGCAACCAATTAAATTTACATTTCCTATAAAAGCCCAATATTTATTTCAACCAGTTTCCAAGTTTTGAGTTTTTGCCGAAAATCACGAAAACTCCACTTTTTAACATTGGTCGGTATAGGGAAAAGTCCAAAATTTGTGAAGAAAAATACCCAAAGAACTCACCTTTTACCATCGAGTTTTCCACAAAATACCAAAGAAACACTCGTATTTTGTAAAATTTTGAGAAAGTTGAATTTTGTTCAAATACGTCATATGGCGTATTTGGTCGTCAAGGGACAGTCGTCATGGTACATCATATGATGAATTTGGGCGCAAAGGGTATTTTAAAATAATACGAGATATGACGTATTTGGTGGCCAAGTGACGCCCAGAAAAATACGTCATATGACGAATTTGGTCTAAATGAGGTTAATACTTAACGTAGGATTAGGTGACTCATCGCCTGTGACGACACAGATCTAAGAAGAATCTGCACATTTTTACTCATTTCTCGGTCCTGGGAATTTATTTAAAAATTCCGTCAGATCCATTTGTAGATCAGGTCAGTACCAATTTATTAAAAATATGTAGATTAGATTTTGTCAAGTTTTGAAGGAGGAGACCCAAACAGAGTTAATACCTTCGCTCTTTTTGGGTATCCTCCTTCAAAACTTGGCAAACTCTAATCTGCATATTTTTAATAAATACACATTACACAAATTACACATTAGAAAAGCCGACTACAAAGGAGTCGTACATTAAAAATCCCTAACCAGAACACGAAGAAATCATAAAAAAAGTCAAATAAATTAAAAATTAAATTAAAAATAATGCACCCCCTCCAATTCTTTAATAAATTGGTACTGACCTGGTCTACAAATGGATCTGACGGAATTTTTACATAAATTCCCAGGACTTAGAAATGAGTTAAAATGTGCAGATCTTTAGATATGTGTCGTCACATGTGATGAGTCACCTAATCCTACGTTAAAATTAGCATTTATTTACTACAAATGACAAAAAATGTATGGTAGTACCACTAACAGTGCGATCATGCCAAGTGAAACGTTTAGATTTGGCTGGAATTTCAAAATTATGTAGTCCAAGTCAATTTATACAACTAACGTTTCTTGAGCCAATTTGTGCAATGGTGGGAATTAGTAAAAATATTTGAGGTCAAATTTTAAAAAATAGGCGACTTTTACCCAGCGGAGGAAGCAAACCCTACTCTTCAAATGGTACAACTGCCCAGTTAAAAATGTCTACCAAATCGTACGGTTGCACTTCACACAATCGCATTGTCAGATTTTAAGTTGACCATGAACCACAATTATACTTTCCCTCTTTGTTTTTTCCTTTTTCTTCAGGTGGTCGGATTCTACTCCAACATTACGCGGTGGACCCGGGTATCCCACACTTTTTTGAGTTTCCCTGTAAATACCACTTCGGCCAGGTTTACTTCGGCGGACTGGACGAGTTTGTCGCGTATTCTACTCGCTACTTCCATATAGCCAACGTACAGGACTTTACCTTGGATGCGGAAATATGCGCTAAACACTTTATCGAGATGATAGACGATAATCGGGAAGAGATGGAGGCCTTGGTGGGACCCAAGCTTGTCCGGGCCCTTCGGGTCACGTATGCCACAGCGCTGGCTGGTTCTAAGTCTAAGGGTCTCAAAATCTACCAGACCGTCCTGGTCGGAAAGGATGACAGGAACCGAGTTCCGGTGGAGTAAGCACGCAGAACGTTTTAAATAACCTGGGCTGAATAATTGATAATAAGTAGTTGTTTAGTACTAACGTGTGTAATTTGGTCTCATTTTAATATTTGCCATGTGTGCAAATGCATTGTGAAACTCCTCTCTCTTGCCCACATTACCCAGCAATTTCAACTTGCTCCACACTTTCAGGCCAGCCCGGAAACCACAATAAGTCATTCGTCAGTCAATTAAATTGATACATATATTTGAGAGTCAATTCGGTATCATTTGTAAACCATTAATTAGTTTTCTTGATAATAAATTGCACCTTAGCATCAAAATTAAACGTGCCCATTTGTGCCTCTTACACATTATTCAACATCAAAGTTTTCCGTTATTCACAAGTACATAGAATATCCATCAAAGTGCACATAATGACCATTCATAGACCACACCTTACTTCATGGTCTCGCCGAACCGGATCGACAATTGTTTGTCGAACTGTGTACTAGATACCAAATATCCATCCAACCCGAACCCGAATTTTTTCGGACAAACAATACCCATCCGACCCGAATCCAAAATGAAAAAATCAATCCGACCCGAACCCGAATTTTTTTGGGAAAAAAATATCCATCCGACCCGAACCCGAATTTTCGGATAATTCAAAAATATCCATCCCACCCGAATCCCATGTTTTATCCGACTTAATTTTTACTACTTTAAAAATATGCGTTCTTCCTCTAAATTAAAGTATCATTTCGCCCCACGAAGCCGCCATTTATAAACAAAAAACTGGAAGCCTAATCTCATATGGCATCCATTATCCATCATCCATTCGACCGAATTAAATTAATTGCATTTTTCACTAAATCTTGGTATTGTTATCTTGGTATATATCTTGGTCATATTCTTTTGTTTAACCATAACATAATTATAAATGATCTGTTTAATTGTTATCCATTAAATTTTAGCAAAATGAGGAACTCGTGCTGGAAGTGTAGGGATCCCACCAACCATTTAAGGGACTGCAAAAGTCCTGGCACTGCCGACGTCGACAGAACTTCGTCGGTAAGAAGAGAGATTCAAAAATTCCGTTGGGCAACTAGTGCAAGTCAGAAAAAATCCACCCCTTCAACGAAAATAAATTATGTGGAAAAAAACCTGTGAAGGTCCCCTCCCACTGGTAATTGGCATAAAAATAAAATAATTCGTTTAAAAAAGGTTTTTTTCATTCAAAGTTGTAAATTTAATTTTTTTGTTTGTTATTTTCAAGTTAAAGCTTGTTCAAAACGAAACTTCAAGATTGCACGACATATTTGATGATCTGGAGGATTCACTAGAAAGTGTCCGTCATATTTCTATCGACGTCGATAGCAATAACGAGATGATTGAGTTATTGACACATATTAATTTACAAATATCCAGTAGCTAGGATATGGTTCGTGAACTTGGTTGGATTGTCAAGAAAGTAATAGTTTTGACAATATCATCTTTTGTACATATACATTTTAAAATTGTTTTATTCATTTCAGTTCAAATCAATCTTCCCCGATGACTTGGAGGTGCTTCTATCGCATGACCGATGGCTTGATCTCAACGAAATAAAGCGCCGTCTAACTGACAAGGGATATGTTGCTCTAAACAACCGGAAAATTTCTCAAACAATTTTGTCGAAGTTGCAAAGAGAGACGGATGAGGTTATACAGTGGCTGACCACTGCGGTACAACGACACAATGGACGTCCAGTGGATTTTGCTGTCGAGAAAGCGAAAATAAAGAAGCCGTAAATTGATGTTTTAGAGTTGACTACAAAATATGTCTATCTCTTTCAAACAATGGATGCAGAGAAGTTGCAAAAAGAATCGTCAGTCCTGCAAAAGAAATGGAAGGACATTATGACTGAAATAAAAGACAAGGATGTTTTAAATAAGGTGAGGAAACAACAAAAAAGAAGTTAAACTCCCTTAATTAAGATTTTTTTTGAATACTTAGCTCATCTGCCCGCTATGCGATGGAATTAAAGAATGGGTTTTGCAATGTGGACACTGCAACTGTTCCGAGTGCATGAAATCCCTAAAAAAGACACAGTACGCTGACAGCTTGCCATCAATTGATGCTAAAACTGGTCGTAACATCCCATTTTCTGAGATTCCTGTTGCAGTCACAAAACAATGTCCAATTTGTATGGCGCCGTTTATTCTTCATTAAAAGTTTATCATTGGACGTCCAATGCCATCTTCTGTTTACTAATACATTTTATTCAAAATCCAATTCGTCAAATGAACTAAATATTACTTCTAAGGATTTATATTGTAACTTCAATAGTAAGAAATACTCTGGAATGGTTAATAAATCTAAAAATTTTTGTGAATAAGCGTAAGTTGAGAAAGTGTTCCTCCACTCAACGACGTCCGCAAGGGATTGATTGCTTTTCCTATGGTGGAGAAGACACGCTCATCACTTGCTTGAGACGCAGGAACTGCTAAAAGCCATTTCGCAATTTTTTGCAATGTTGGAAACTCTTTTGCACTTTTCCAAAAGCACAAAATGTCAAATTCTGATTCTGCAATTTGAGAAATAGTAATCAAATTACGTCTACAGGCTTGCCAAAAAAGAACTAAGAATTTTCTACCTTTTGGTAATTTATACGCAAAATATTTGTCGATTTCGCTCAATTCTCCATCATTGTCATCTGGATCTTGTAAGTCAATGAATCTACCAACTTTTGGCGAGGGTGGCTCGAGATCACGATTTGAATCAGCAGTCGACGTCGACTCATCTACAGGGACTTCAACCCTCTCCTTCTCCATCAATATCTTGAGTTGGCCAACTGCTCGCTCCCGCTTTTCCTCTTCAACGAAGGTTAGTTTTCTATAACTAGGAATTACATTAATTACTTAGTAAGGAGTTCCAATTTCCAATACGGATATTCTTGAACACCAATTAAAATTAAACTTACTGTGGATCAAGCGTGCATGCAATGTAATGCAGGTCTTCCAGATTCAAATACTCCTGCATGCATCGTCGACATTGCTCTTTCAGTAATTTAATCTCCGAAGAATCGTCTGCTCTGACATCAATGTGCTGGTTGAGTTTATAATGCCAAAGTGCAACGAGATGAATAGTGGGGTACTTGTCGCCGCTCAATATCTCAGCACATTCGCTGAATGGCTTCAGGAACCCGATTAATTGGTTGACGACGTCGTCATCTATTTTCGAGATCTTATCCAATTTCTGTTTTTCGCAAAGAATTTTTTTTACTTCTTGAGATGAACGAGCGTATGACTCAAGCATAGTCAGAGGGGCGTTCCCTGGTTGGCTGGCACGGCGTCGCTTTACGAGGTCACTCCGTCACCTTCTAATCGTCACGAGGGACTCAACTTCAGATAGGACATATTTTTTTTGTACACTCACTTGGCTAGCAACTTTGACACAGTTTATGAAATGGAATGGCCAACTAAAACCACGACCGGGATTGGACTCACGAATAGTTAACACGTACTGTCTCAATTCGACTCGAACCATACAAATTATTGTCCCCTTGACAAAATACTAACAATTTATTTTCACACATAGTGTGCAAGGGCAAAAAGGCATGCCGTGCCTACAATGCCTTTTTGCCTATTGGGCATGTGAATTTTGGCCATGCCCGATTTCCCGAAATGCCTTTTTGCCTTTTTGGTAAAATCTGGGCAATGTGATAATACGAACGTATGCTTTCGTAGTTACATATTCACAGTTCACAGGATTTGCCGACATGTGAAGCAATGTGTACAATTAATCTTAAGTTTGTTAATTAGGTCGAGCTGGATGATTGTCGACACCACTAAACAAATACACATCTTGAGGTGTACACATATGTATTCATAAATATTCGTAATATTCATGAGAACGTAGGTATATGATCCTGTGGGGTATTTGTGAAGAAGTGAGAGGCTGACATGTTTTAGAAAAACCGAAATGTAAACCTAATTACATTTTTATCACTTTTCTTGTCAATAGTAAATTTTTTTAATAGTACAGGTAATGCCCAATGGAAACATACGGAAAAAGGCAAAACGGCATCAAACGGGCTAAAAGGCACGCAAAGAGGCAATTCGGCATTGGAACGGGCAAAACGGCAAAAAGGCATGAATTTTTTCCCAAAAAGGCGCCTTTTTGCACACACTGTTTTCACACCAGATACTTTTACAATTATAGGAAATGTAGGTTTAATTTATTTGATTTGAGGCTGATTTCTTAAATATTCTTTTGTATGTATTTAATGAAGGGAGAGCCGGGAGAAGATGGCGACCACGGGAAGCGTGGTTGCCTGAAAAGTATGTACGAGTTGAGGACAGATTTGGAAGATGTGGAGTGCTCCTAGGCTCCTCCGCCACTGTCCAGTCTCGGCTGGAACCAATTGGTATATATTTATATGTACGCTCGATGGAGGCGTTCCGTGATGCCCTCGGCACGGTTGGGTCGGGGACCAGCGAAGATGGACGAGTATAGCTCGTCCCCCAGCGTATGTACATATTTAGTGAAATATTAATTCGATTAAACAATCTTGAACTTATCGGGAAACCACAGAAAATTCCAGAGAATAGGTAAGTAGCATGCTGTGTAATGTAGCCAAGGATGCTATACGAGCCATTAAAAACGCAGGATATCACTGTGTAATTCCTTTTAAGGATAATCATAACAGTTGTTCAAGTACCACACAATTTTGTTTGTACTGTTAAACAATTCATCAATTTGTATCTATTTACATGGCAGCACAAATAATAATGTTTGCTTACGTCGGTAGCATTTCAGTGAGATTCAACTTGCTCAGGTGCAGCAAAACATCTGTGCAAGCAATGATTAGGTAAGGTTAGTGAATGTCAATTCTAGTACTTTAATTTGTTTAATGAATCGAGACAAGTTCACAATTTTCAGTATTTATTAACTACACTCGTCAATTAAAAAATTACCCATTCATTGTCGTAATCATTACATCTTTATTTGCACAATTGCATTTATTTCGCGATTAGAAACTACCCAAATTTTAGTCTTTGTCCCCTTCCGAGAAATCGATTCATCCGTTTACCTCTGTTTGCTTAAACTATTTGCTAACTCGAACAAAACAATGATTCTTTATTGTCTTTTTTCTCTATATATAAAGGATCCAAAAGTGGGGAACAGATTATTGTTCAGAATCAAATTCAGCAGCATTAAAGAAAACGACGCGATGAAATTCTCCAAGATTTTCCTTCCAATCCTCGCCTTGTTGGTGGCATCCCTCTTTTCAGTCCATGGAGCGGTGAGTTTTTTATGGTTTGATTTTTTAAACGAGGAGCATTTTTAAATTCCAACTTTATGGCAAGAACGCGAGTATTTCATAATTTTACTGTTAATTTGCTAAGAAATACATACACAACGGGTCTAATTTTAAAATACAAACCATAAATACATATATATATTTTAACCGCTTGAAACACAATTTGTTTCCTTCTCAGGGTGAGCAAGCTGGAAAGGGCAAAGAAGCAAAGTGGTGTAAGTTATTAATTAATCTTTGTAGTTGAATTAGTACACTCTTTAGAAACTGTTGTTGAGTCATTCCTACACTCTTGGCAAAGTGGCGGTGAAATCCAACTATTTGAATTATAGAAAAGCATACAAATATTTAGAAAGTGCATACATGCTTTTGTATGCTTCAAATTTACCGAAATTGAACAGTGTATGAATTTTGTCATTGCGTCCAATCAGTTTTAGGGTTGAGTACACTCTTAGCAAAGTGGTGAAGTCATGTATACCCTTCGGGATGGTATTGACTTCGTGCTAAATTCTCCCCGGGCTGGTAATGGTTTTATTCTGGGTGGTGAGTTTCATCACTATAGCGATGTACACTTTTCACTATACGGTGATGCCCGTTATCACCGCGCCGGTTAAGTCATACATATATGCCTTCCACGCGGTGATGATTCAATACCATTTTTCTAAGAGTGTAATTGGAGGACGTATGTATACGTGCGTAAAATACACTGCTAGAAATCCGATATAGTCATACAGGTCTCGGTATTAAACTTGACTTTGAAATTATATCAGTCGGCAAAAATTTGCTACCGACATAGTAAAACGTTAATACCGAGGTATTACTACACAGTATTGTATTACTTATCAATACCACTTTGGTAGAGTCATATATGAATATGTACTGGTATTAATTTAACACTGGTTTCTAAGAGTATACCTCATCCGGCAGTCTTAACATTATTAGTTTAATACTATTATGGTAATGAAAAATTTACCACTCCGGTATAAACTAGCATGTCCTACGAACCCGATTATACATACGTTATAACCAAATCAATCCCAGTACCGAGTATATATGTACAGGAACTCTACCAGATATTTAACGGGTTACGAAGTGCATAACTTATTAGACAAAAATGTTTCCAGTTTTCCCCGGATTTTGGATTCCTCTTCCAAGTTTGAACCCATCTACCACCACCGTCGCCCCGACAACCACACCAACAACCACAACCACATAACCGGCTCCAAAATACAGTCACATTTAGCCTTTATTAGTAAAAAAAATAAAGAATCAGCAATTTAAAGCAAAATGCGTTTCCATTTAATGTATGCAGGCAAATATATACATACAAATTTTAATTTTTTATCACTTACGTACACGCTGAAAATAAGACTCTCCGGGGTTTGCACACATGTCAAATAACGTTTTACAGACATTTTCAATTTTAGCTTTTTCATTAAGTTTGTTTCAATCATTTGACACATGTCATTACAAGGAAAAACCATCACCAGGCATTTGCTCAGCAAACACTTTGCTGAGCGTGTGTTTATTATACCGTATATTGAATTCCCTATGGTTTTAACAGCTCTTTGTACATTTAAAATGACAACTTGGTACATGAATCCAATTTTTGAAATGAGTATGAACCATGTTACTTGCGTAAGTAGTTTCCCAGAACAGAAATCAAACCGGCAAATGTATTCACGTGTGAATTTCCTACGTCAACCTTATTCGCATATCGATTTGTAGGATTTTTCGTGGGTTTGCCTAACTTTTCAAAGTTAGTGTGTCTGTAGTTTCAAGATTTAAGCTGCAATGTTAAGACGCTGGGTTTCCCACATGAAACCTATAAATATGATATTTAAAGAAACTAGGTACATATATGAAGTAACTTGACATATGATAGTTGGATTAGTTGATTTTGTATTAATTGCATTTATTATATACACTATACAAGAACAAAGAAAGAAAAGGATGGTTCACACACGTAATTAAGACGCGATTACAAGCCAATCAGAACAGCCTAAGAAATCCTCCTGCTACTCAAAGATTTTGGAGGCTTCTCTACTTATAATAAATCCAAAGTCAAAATCATTGATAAATTCCTTTACATTCATAAATCGTTAGACACTTTTCATCTTACCTTGCACTATTTTGACACATCTGAGAGAACCTAAAATTCTCCAAGGACGCGCTGTATCATTCTGTAAACTACACTTGCCTGAGCTCCATCCTTAGTTGCTGTGCACAAAACAGTTTAATATTAGTTTCGTAGTATCGCTATGTAAGTACACATTAGTGTGTTCAAACATATGTTTGTTATTGTGCGCCAAAGAAATACAGTAATGAGTAACTTTAACTACATGTGCGGTTTGTAACATATCCTTATGTCTTACTAATCTTATCGGACTATAATTCATGGATATAAACAAACGTCTTGATAACGAATGGGAGATAGCATTCGAAATATTGACAAAATAAGGCAGACTTTTTCTTCGATTTTTTCCACTTAACTCCGTGTAATCCAACTATTCTAAATTTTAACTTGTTTTAAATTGAAGGGCAACTGGATTTATCAGTGGGACTTTTTTATGTAACCGATATTTCATACAAATATCTCCCATACCATAATTAGATTGACCCGTGAAACCAAAAGAATCCTAAAATGTGTACATAATTCATGTTTATTACGTTTTGTAAAAACTATAGATATTAATATCATACCCAGCAATCATTATATTGTTGTTTTCCTGGGGCCATGAAAGTAGGTACTAGCATTAATTCAAGTGATGGATGCAACATGATGATATTGTTTAAGTCGGCTACTTCGGCGTACTGTGCAATTAATTTTTGTTCTTCTTCGAAACGTTTGAGAGGGTCAGGGCCAACGGAACATTCGCGAAATACAACGTGCAATCGACATGTGACCCTGTTTTCAGGTAGACAAGCAATAGGGACATAGATGTGCCCATTGCCTCCCATTGCTCTGCTAATTTCATGAGCCGACCCTTTTATGAAATCCGATTGTGGGAAAGGTATGAGTCTCCCTGTCATCTGAATTCCGGCTCTTGGAGTTGCCAAGGTACCACCATATAGCCAGTTGAGCATTTGGAAAACACTGTTCAACCCACATTCGTTTAAATATCCGGTGGACCAAGGCGCAATTGCGGAGCATACGGCTCCACGGCCGTTATTGACCGGCTGTAAATTTTCAGTTACAGGTTTACCAGGTAGTTTATATAAATATATATGATTTTTAATATGTTCTTGATAACCGTATAATCGCAGATACACAACAAAGATGTGCCCTTACTTGTATCCGTACAATGTTACAACAATGGACAAAACCTGGGAAGTCGCTGCGGGCTGGATTATAAAACTTACTATTTGTATTTCCGTCACGTTTGTATACAATGTGTCGGAAATTTGTTGAATTGAATTCATGTTACATCAAAGAAAAACCAGTCACACATCTTCAAATACAAGATAAAATGTGCTGTCCTGTTTGGCCACATGCACAGCCCACTGTATCGCACGGGTAACAAATAAGGGTATCCCTTGCTTTGTACAAACATTGGTTACCAATACTTACGATTCCGTGCCCGACTGGAATGCTAAACTGATCTAGAACATTAGCCCCGAAATGTTTATACATCCCACTTAAAAGTCTGAGTGAACCTTGATTAACGACTAAATTCCTCGTCCCACCAATCACATAGGCCCTGGAACCATTGAGATTCGTGATGTCGTCAATTTTATGGGAAGACGAAAAGTTGTCAACCATTTGCAGTAAATTTGCCATGTTGACCAGATTGGGGTCTCGAATGCACGACAGCATTGATTCGACACCTTCATATCCGCATAGATACGGCCCTATGAAATTTTGCAAATAATTATCAAGGTATAAATATATTTGACAAAATTGCTTCTCATACATATATTTTAATAATTACCATAACCCGCAAAAATTCCTGCTCCTTTTATTAGACTTGAGTAGCTAAAGTGAAACTGTGTAGCGAACGATCCACCAGAGGCGAATCCAGATACGGTAATGGAATCAGGATCGACATTATACTTCTCTATGTACAAGAATGAAAAAATACCGGATACAGTTTTGTGCACACATTCACCGGAAACTTCAGACTCGTTCAAAATATTTATACTAATAATATCCTCATGCTTTTCGGATAGTGCAATAATCATCAAAACCTGAAAAAATCTTAATTTTTAAGTAAGGATGGAGCTTGTCCGTGTCAAGCGAATATACTTATGTATGTCATAAATGTCATATTTGTCAATTTAACCGTACAATTTGTCACGATGACAATATGTCCGACATTTATGACAAGTATGACCAACAAATTGGACAAATTTGACATTTTGTCTCAATACAGCCCACTTATGTGGCAGTTTGTAATTGAGTGCTTTGGAGTACCTCATTGTCAATAAATTAAACCTTCGTATATAGAATCAATCCATTCGAGAAATTCGAATTGCATAAATGTCCAATTCATCTAATGTTTAAATATCAGACAAATTGCACATTTATGACATTCTGAATTTATCATATTTGCCAAAAATTGTAATTGTCTAACAAATTGGGCATTTATGACTTGTCAAAATGTAAATTTGTCAATGACATGTCATGACGCCACATCCCTGTTTTTTAATTAAGGTTTAAACGAGCCAAAAAGGTGTCTTGATACTACTTGAAGGTGTACATAAATTTACTGCAGCTAATCCACTGAACTTGTGGAACCTACAAGTATCTGTTGATATGAAACTTGTGGGGTTATCTTCAAATCCATCAATACAAAAATCTCCTATCGCGTAGTAAATAACGAACGTGCTTACCCAACGACGTTGCGTCAGATTTCTTGATAATCTGGCCTGTCGCAACGTGCCCCAAGTATAGAAGGACGTAAACGGAGCACACGAATTTTCTCATTTTCGGTTCCAGGAGCTGCAAATTTGGTTCTTTGGGTATATATTCATACTTCAGATATTCAATTTATATCAATTTGGGTCACTTACCGATTTTTAATTTAGTCAGTGATGCGGTTCGATCTGCGTCATACCTGTTTTTTGTTTGGGTTATTTACATACATAATTCATTGAAGTTATGCTAATTTGATTAGGTGTTTTGTTATGTAAACCATTCTTATCAGGTTTAACTCTAGAAAGGTCTGTTTTCCGAATAGGTGACGTATCTCCATATTTATTTAAATTAGCCTTCTTTACTCGCAACATCCGGGATTGATTAGCATACACTATCTACAAAAAGTGAGTATACGGTGGCCCATGCCAAAATGTAAGTGAAACTTTTAGGCACTTCCATCGCTCCCCCACAAATGTAGCACATGTAATTTATAGGAAATTTACCCAGGAATTCGAATATGGCAGCCGTTTATTGAAATTTCGGAAGCGGGAAAAGTAATGATGGGGCGAAGCGCGAAATCTGTGAATTTCGTCCCAAAAAAGTATGGATACGGTTCATTGTTTTTTGCCTCCAGAGTTACGTTATCACACTTTTTGCACCAATTTGAAAACAAAATATAGCCAAGTAATTTCTTGCATAACAAAGAAAACCGCGAGATTTGGATGGAAAACGTTGTACAGGAAGTAACGGGAAAATATGCTTTCCTAAACCAGAAACTTATCCGGATTAGACCAAATTTCTCCAAATACTAACGGCCGGAGACTAGGAATTCAAAAAGTTGCTCAGAAATTGAAATCATGTGAGTTATTGACCGCCAATACACAAATTTCGCATAAAAATGAGACACATAGTCGGACTAATAGGCAAATTTTGGCCAATATCTTTATTAGAAAATTCATTTTGGAGTTTAAACTTGTTGCTTAGACCAAAGTACAACTTTTACGTTCCAGTTCTGACAACGTAGTTTGAAATTCTCCGAAATTGAAAGGTTGCAGTGCCATGCAGCAATGTGGAAATGTATCATCCTTAAGTTAAATTCACAGACGCTGTCGTAATTGGCACAATCTGATAAAATTGGGACAAGTAATGATTCAAACGAACATAGAAATGAAGATTCAACATTTTTGGGTCCAGTATGAGAACCATCAATTCTTGTATGGGCTATGAACGGTTAATATATGGAATCATAAAAATCACAAGCGGTTGCGTCATGGTACCTTAATATTGCAACCTTTCAATTTAGGAGAATTTCGAAATACATTCTCAGAAATGGAAACTAGAAGTTGTACTTTGGTCTAAGCAACAATTTTGAACATTGAAATACATTTGCTGATAGAGATGTGGGACACAATTCAGCGATTAGCCCAATAATGTATATCATTTTTATGCGAAAAATATGCATTGGTGGTCAATAACCAACAGGATTTTAATTTCTGAGCAAATGCTGGAATGCATAGCCTCCAGTCGTTAGTATTTTGTGCAATTTCGTCTTATCCTATTAATTTCCGTTTTAGGAAGTAGTTAGTTTGGCATTTATCCCATGACACCGTTTTCCATCCCAATCTCGCGTTTTACTTTTGCATTAAAATACTGTGTGGGTGTGGTTGTTATGGGTGCGGATGGGGTAAGACGCATAATCTTATCTTACCCCATCCGCACCCATAAAAACCACACCCACACAGTATTTGAATGATTCTTACAACATACGCAAGATTTTAAAAAAATCGTCCAAAAAGGTGACATCATGTGGCGTACAGCCCCCAAATCCAACCACCACCACCAAACCACCACCAACCCAAAATAAACCCGTTCTTAAACACATTGGGGAGTATCCACGTCATTAGTTAAACAGATTTGGCTCTTGTTTTGCAAAATCGAAAAATTTCGCGCTTTTAGTTTCTCAAAATATTAAATATTATTTTAAAGTAATATTTTCATCATAAAAAGCGGGTGTTTTGGCAGATTTTTGGAAACATGATTTTATTGCCCCCTTCTAAGCCGTTCAGAACCAGCCATGTAAATAAGCCTGAATTCACCGGTACTCTCAAAGCAGGGTTGCAAGTGGTATATATCACCTGGTGAGATTTAATGAGATTTAATGATTTATATCAAACATCTCAGTTGGGGCTGAGTGAGAAATGTAAGAAATAATGAGATAAACTTGTAGTTCATGACCACGTCCGCTAGGTGGCGCTATCGTATGGCTCACAAATCTCACTATATCTCATATTTCTCATGTCTCACTATTTCTCATTATTTCTCAGTGAGATGAGATTTATGAAGGTGAGATGAGATTTCTGCAACCCTGTCTCAAAGCACGTATGCATACAGAGCATGTACTACTTATTTTGCGAAGAATTCGACAATTTTTTCGCAGCTACATATGTTTTGTTTTGGATGATTAACTTGCTCTATCTGATGCCCCTTATTCTGGCTACAAGTCTGCAGCGCGCTTTCGTTGATGAAAACACTTCTTGACACTTTTGAAGGCTTGTTTTTAACCACTCGTCCTGAAGACTTTTCCAAAGTCCATTTAAAGTATTTTCTAATTTGTACATTTTCTCCCGACGCACAGCAAACTGACCTTGCCCCGTTACAGCCATCTACCCTGACAAAGCTTAGTCGATTGTAACCTCACATTCGTCTCTACCTCCAGCACGGTAGTTCTCGTTCAGCTTTTTGGCGTTGGAAACTGCGATTAGCGGTGTTTCGCTAGTTAAACGAATGCCGTTTTGTCTTCTGCTGCTTAAATTTGTCCAAAACTCTTTTAATGACTCTTTAAAGAGTTGTTGGATTCGATGTTAACAGTTTCTCCATACTGCGAATGATATTTGGGGTTTCCTGGTTGATCAAAGGGTTGAACATCGTTTTTAGGCCGGGTTTGCTTAAGTTGTGCCAGTTTTTTCGTGCTAGCGCTTGAATATTTCTCATATTAAGTGGTACATGCTTGGTATATCGTATATAATTTTTTTACGCAATACGTACTTGGCAATGATATTTATAAATGTATGTATCTACAACTATATACACAATACAACTCTTACCATCCGGTTAATTTTTTTAATGACTTTTTTTTAAAAAGGAGTGCATTGGAAATGTGAAGGAACCACCCACATTTCACGAGTCGAAGCCTGTTTTTCTTGATCTAATGCTACTCGTCTTTTCAGTATGTGTAGTTGTTATGCCGTTTAGGTGGCTGAACTTCTGGCAGAAAATCATAGATTTGTGACATATTTAAGGATTTCTGACGTAATGAATTTTCTAAATAAAATAAGAGGGGCAATAAAATATTGTGAAACGGTCTCGAATATGTAAATTGTAGGTAGTATGAGCAGCCTGTAAATCGTGTAAATTTCGCATATAAAAATTCTGCATAAATCAGACAACGAGCTTCGCAAACAGCGTAAACTCTGTCAGCATCAACTTTGCAAACCTGCACGACACCACCACCGACCAGCAGCAATGATGTCATTCTTATACTTTTCTGCTTCGGCCAGACAGTGTCAAATAACGGACTGGCTGGTTTTATGAGGTTGATCTTTCACCTCTCTCACGACCGGATGGAGTGACGACGATAAAAACGACAGTGTACAATGTATGCAATAAAATTATGTACAGTGTCGGACAAAATTGAGCGTCCACCTTATTAGGATGCACTGACATTGGCATAGCATCTAAACTGTTCACCCCATCTCAACCTTCTCGATATCCAATTGTAGGTCCCTTAACACTCTTTCAAAATCAGTAATTACATATTGTATTTCTACTGGGGAAATATGAGAAAAATAAATAATTAAAATTATTTGTGAAAATTAACCGGACAAAATTGAGCGTCCAGTTGCAATTATTTTCGAATAAAGCTGAATAAATTACTTTTCACATTAGGTAAGTTTATGAATATAACGTTTAAACATTATGACACTAAATTTGATGACAATTATAGACTTCACATAGTCACAAACAAATTTCAGAGCCCACTTAATCCAACATTTGTATTTGGTCAAAATGAGGGTTTATCTCAATGAAAACTAAGCGGGAAGCGCCAATTAGCAAAGAAAACAAATAAAACAACAATAATAAATTAAAACAAAACTGAGTCGCTTAAGGAAACAACCTGGAGGGGGTTGCACCACATCGTTTAGCATAAATAATTCGGACATTTGGTAGGACGGATGAAAATAAAATCAACATTGTCAGCCTCTACGCTAACAACGGAAGTGACCACCATGTTTGGAAAAGAAGGTAGGCCTAGTACCTTCAAAAACACCTTGAACAAAGAAAATGTTCGGCGAAGTTCTGAAGTTTGAAAGCTCGTCATCTCTGGCAGCTCCAATGAATAATGTGTGTCACCCTTGTGCTTGAGGGTTTGATTCAGATTTTGATGTTTAAGCGATGCATTTAAATGCAACGAAACTCAACGTCGTTTATCGAATCGAACTTCATAAAATTTTCATTCATTGCCCCATAAAATCGGGTTCCAGAAACAGTAGTCTGGAAGGATCTGTCACTGGGCAAAATTGACTATTATTGTCGCGTACCATGTTGAAATGACGAGCTTTCAAACTTTATGACTTCGCCGGAGATTTTCTTTGTTCAGGATGTTTTCGAAGCTACTACAGGTAACTTCTTTTCCGAACATGGTGATCACTTCGGTAGTTATCGCAGAGGATGACAACCTTGATTTTAGTTTCATATGTCTCATAAAATTTCCGAATTATTTATGCGAAACGATGTGTGGCAATCCCTTCCAAGTTGTTTCATTAATCGATCCAGTTTTGTTTTAATTAACTATGATTGTTTTACTTGTTTTCTTTGCTAATTGGCGCTTCCCGCTTAGTTTTCATTGAGATAAACCCTCATTTTGACCAAATACAAATGTTGGATTAAGTGGGCTCTGAAATTTATTTGTGACTATGTGAAGTCTATAATTGTCATCAAATTTAGTGTCATAATGTTTAAACGTTATATTCATAAACTTACCTAATGTGAAAATTAATTTATTCAGCTTTATTCGAAAATAATTGCAACTGGACGCTCAATTTTGTCCGGTTAATTTTCAAAAATAAGTCTCATTATTTATTTTTCTCATATTTCCCAGTAGAAATACAATATGTAATTACTGATTTTGAAAGAGTGTTAAGGGACCTACAATTGGATATCGAGAAGGTTGAGATGGGATGAATAGTTTAGATGCTATGCCAATGTCAGTGCATTATAATAATGTGGACGCTTAATTCTGTCCGTCACTGTATGTATGTAAGGATGTATATAAGAACTAGGTTAAGATTTGGACTTTGTTAAGAAAAGGGGATAAGAAAAATGGTTGGAAGACGGAGGAGAGATTTATTATGAGATTATTACGTTCTGGACATCGGAGGAGGAAAGAAATAAAGCCAAAAGAACTTGTCGCGTTTCCAACCACCAAAAATTGATTATTTTAAGACCACATTTTAAAATCGCATTCGAATTTGACACACAATTTCACACAAAAATTGCATAATTTTTGCATCCCGTCACTTTCACATACACAAAGAGTAGACAATTCTCACAGTAGCTAAAATGGACCAATTGCAAGATTGGTTTTGATAGAGTTAATTAATTTGCCTTCCAAATTTTAAGTCGTTCTGCACCAAATACAGCCAGGCCATTCGCCATGGCAACTGCACAGAGTTAAAAAGCTGGCAAAATTAGGTCAAGGGACACAGCCCTCGATTCACTAAACGTCGTTGGCTCCCTAACATTTCCAAATACGTCTTGAACAGCTTCAACCAAGTCGACCAATTCCTCAACTGTACGAGGGGTGTGAGGAGGGAATAGGACAGCAAGGCATGAATATATCGAGCCCTGGAAATAATTAACCATGCGGAGGAGATTCCCAAATAACCATAAGACGAGGACGATACTGGCCGCCCTTCTTTTACGATACGTCCCTCTCGAACTTTCGCCCACCTGGCCAAAAAATATACAGGATACGGTGATAATCGTTTCCGTGATGGTGGAGACCCAACAGGTATTCTGACTAGGTCCAGTCCACCCCAATATGATTAGATAACACTGACCAAAACACAAAGCCATGTCTTCATGTCGAACGGCGACAAGAAAATTGTCACCCCACCAGCAGGGGATGGCGGCTTGGTAATAGTTATAAAATTAATGTATCGGTAAGCAGCATCATAGCAGAAGAATTCTAAGGCGATGTCATAATGGTACCATTCTGCTAATGCCAGACCAAAATTATTCTCACTTCGAAGCATAAAGCCGTGCCTGTATTCCGGCTGGGTCAAATTTAACCTTTCCGCAATTGTAGCGACAGGGCAAAACTCGAAATCTCCTAAATTACTAAGGCCATCTTGAAGTAGGGCACAGCTTCCTTTCACTGGCATGGGTAGATAGGTGACGTATTTGTGATGGTCTCTATTATGAGCGTCCCAAGCTTCCCGGATGCCTGGTAAAGACAATTTCTCCAATTTTGTAAAAGCTATCGTGTCACATGTCCTACATGGGACATACAAAGAACCGGTGGTAATAAGATGCTCGAACACGACAAGTTTCACAGTGCCTAAAACCTTAAGGCACCTTTGAAGAAAAGATAAACCTTGGCGATCTTCAGTATACCCGAAAACGAACTCAGATCGGAATGGCGTAACGAATTCAAGGATTCAGTCTTTACAATCCTTCTCCCGCGTAAATGACGCGACCAAATTGAGAAACGGAACCTTAGGCCGTCCTGATTTCTTTGTGGCAGGATACTCTTGTTCTTTTAGATGGTTTAAGTATCTGGTGATATCCAGCGTTGAAAATGTTGATTGATTAAAGATGCCGTGGCGCAGCGGGGTGTAAAGACTATCAACCGGTACAATTTGAACGTATGAAAAACTTGTGTCCACGACCAACGACCTGTCACCGTCCGTGGTGTATACGAAGATGAGATCGGCGTCTAGAAATAGCCCGCTCCAAACTATGCACCAACAGTAAGATGTGGAAATTGTAAAGATGAAAATGCAGATCCAGCCGGAAGTCGGCATGATATTGTCCGAAGAACAGATTCCTTGAAACAAACTAAAATTAACTTACAGAGTGTTTGCATCAAAATTAACATATGTATTCCCCGGAATATATAAAAAATAGATTTGCGTTGTCTCGAAGGTTAACCGTTTTTGATAATTATGTTGTTTGAACTAGTCGACAAAAGCATTAACTGGAACGAATTTGAGTGTAGGTACGTTTCTTAATAGCTGCGACATCATGAAATTGATTAGCTTTTGTGTCCTGAGTGGAGTTAATAAGTAAGCTACATATTTATCCTTTTCGTGACCTAGTTAAACGCATACCTGCAATTTATATCTAAGCAGTTTCGTATTGGAAACATAAATTCCCCGTGTTTGGAATTAATCGCCCTACTTTTCGAAGCTTTTCTAACAAGGGAAGGACCCCGACTGCTACTCGAGTATAGGGTACCCAGTATGTTTTTTAGAATCTACTAGGACCCTAGATGAGGGATCCATGCATATTTACGTGCAAAACTCATATTTGGCGCCGTGGCGTGGCGCCAAACTTCAAAATCTGGATTTTCGACCAACTTTAAACCCCCATGACTTTTGCAGTTGACAACGGATTTCCAACATTTTATACTCAAAATGATCACAGAAGTCGAAATTTTAAGAAAAAAATGAAAAACAAAAACTTTTTAATTTTTGAGTTACTTTTACGATTTTTTCGACAAACCCACATGTTTAAGAAAATTTTGAAATTTAGCACAAATTTGAAAATGTCAGCTTTTTGAAAAACTTGATGGAAATCGAAAGTTGAACCCTTTGTGATGATTTTAATCAATTTTTTTGAAAATCCGTCCAGGACTTCAAAAGTTATGCCGGTTTTAAAAATAAAAACATTCAAATTTGACGAATGTGGCGCCACGCCACGGCGCCAAATATGAGTTTTGCACGTAAATATGCATGGATCCTTCATCTAGGGTCCTAGTAGATTCTACAAAACATAGTGGGTACCCTGAACTCGAATAGCAGTCGCGGACTTTCCCTTGTAAGCCAAACTGGCATTTCTAAACACGGAAATGAAGGTCCTTTTGCGAAGGAAACGACATCCCCGTGTTACTTGAGTACAATTGTTTCCGCACTGTGGTGCTCAAAATATCCATAGTAATTATCAGAGTAATCATATCCAGGAGTCTGGCCCATATCGGAGTATTTGTGGTTTGTATTTGTACCTTAAAAAATAAACACATGCCAGTTTGCTAATTTGTTTTCGATTCAAGGACATCATCATTGCAATGGACGACACGAAGCCAACGGCAAATTTTGAAAGTAAGAACGTTTTTTTGTTCCGACACAAAATAAAATATCTGATACATGAATAGTTTTAACCTTTTAAAACGTATGGAGGTTTTTTGGCCTCCTAGGAAACATTGCGTTACTGTGGGAGGAGGTCTTTTGACCTCCTAAAATTTTCGGGCTTACTGCGTTAGGAGGTCAATAAACCTCTACGGATTTGTTGCTATGGTGCGGGAGGAGGTCTTTTAGCCTCCACCCAAATTTTTTCTCCACTGCGGGAGGAGACCAATAGACCTCGGTAAAAAATATTGTTTTCTCTTTTCATAACCCCTAATCAGGGTTCGGAAAAACCCTGGGTTTTACCTCGAAAACAACTACCCCGGGGTTTTACTGGGTTTTACTGGGTTTTACTCTATGTTTGGGGTTAACTAGTAAAAATTACAATGTTACACTAATTTGTTAAATTAATGTATTTTATGAAGATTCACCATAAAACTAATGCAAAATACCAGGAACACCCCCAAAAACCACTAATATGACCAAAGTCCAAGTTACGCTGTAAGTTGAGACTTTTAGGCCACAAAGAAAAATTCGAAATAAATATAGAATTCGCCGAATATTAGTCAGACTACTTAATTCGAGTTAGATATGCACTTGCAAACTGATTCTATTGATTTATCTATTTGAATTTTAAATGAAACCTAGTAAACCCCAGTAAAACCCCTTTAACATAGTAAAACCCGCTGGGTTTTATTAATTTACTACCCAGTAAAACCCCAAAACCCCAACCCAGTAAAACCCGGGGTCGGAATACCCTGACCCTAATAATATTTTATATCATAAAATAATTACTAGTTATTTGATCAAATTTGCACAAAAAACCCTCTAACACAAAATTATGAAGGTGTTTAATTCTCTATAATCACATTGCAAAGAATTAGAATGTGCAAAAATTTATTTCAAAATACTCAAAAAACCCTTCCCACAGTATCTGTCTATTTGTCATCCCTCCTTTCACGCAAGTTGATTTTCCCTTTGGAAAATTACTCCCAAATCGCAACCCAGTAATCACAGTAAATCTCCCGCGGTAACGCCATGGTCATGTCATTATACACGTTTTGAAAGGTTGAAAATAATTTCCTCCACATTCTGAGGTACAGATACCGACCGGAAATGTAATTTTGCTGAATTTACATGCAATGGGATGTTCGAATTTCAATTACGAAGCGGGAATTTTATCGGAAATGCAAATTTGTACATGATTTTTTTTTACCAAATTGGTGGACATTGTTGTCACACAAAGGTTATTGCACCCATATTTTTGCCTGCACCAAAACATAAAAGTTCTGGATTTTGGGAGTATTTGTTTACAAAATTCTTACGGCTTATTTTAAGAATGGCTACTCATACATATTTGTACTGAAGTAACAAGAACTTTGTGTTTGGGTGAATGTATTTCAATACCCCAATGAAGAATTAAGACGTTTACGTATGTAGATGGACGTGCCTTAAAATATGCTATGCAAAATTCATTCAACTACGCTTTCTTTATGAAGTTTATTCTGAAAATATGTAAATACACTGTATCCAAAAATTTTCTCACTGCCGTTTCGCAATGATTTTCATGAGCTTACAAAATTATGCAGATTGAAATGTTACTCATGCAAATAATTGGTACAGAAATCTTGGTAAATTTGCATACTTTACTCTAACCAAGCAAGAAAAGGTGTAATACACATACATAAATATTTATCAAGAAGCATAACTCGATTTGAATCCGTGTAAAGTCCATATTTTAACGAATTCGGATATCCGAGCACCCACGGAACTGTAATTGTTAAGAAATATTAGCATGTTTAAAAATACTTTCATTCCTAAAATAAATATACAAGTGCAACACGCTCCCGTACATGCGCTTGATGTTTATGATAAAATATCGCGTAAAAAGATTTCCCCCCGGTCCGTCCAGGCATTTAGCACCAAGTTTCATTCAAAAAATTACGTCGCAGCATTTAAAAGTTTTTCAACACAAGTGGATGCGTGGGCAGGGTTCGCCACCCCGGGTTTTTGTGGGCTGGGATTTTGGAGTATCAAATCTCCGGAAAATCCCTACTGCTTAATCGGGTTTTTGCGGGTTTTTGTAAGATTTTAAGGCAGATTGAAACAAAATCCCTTAAACTACAACTTACATCAGGGCTAATTAAATTGTTAGATTCATCATGCAGTTTTGAGAATTTTTATGTGCGACTTGAATTTCAAAGTATCCTTGCATATGTATTTCCAGATTTACATGTTAAACATGAATTTTCGATTCAGCAGTCCAAGTAAAAAATGATAATGCTTAAAATTGCACGATAAATTTGTATATTAAATAAGTTATTTCCTAATAAAAAATTTTAGGAGTTTTGGTTCAACCTGCCCTAAAATATACAAAAACCCCAAAAACCCCGGAAAAACGCACGGGGTTGGGTTTTTCTAGAAAAACCCCGGGGTTTTCCGAACCCTGTGCGTGGGCCAGGTTGAAATCTTTTTACAAGATTTTATAGCTATGTAAAATATTTAGAACAGGGTACATACCGTTTCTTGGGGACCGCATCCCTATAAAAAATAAATAGTAATTATCATTCCGTTAATTATTATGAATACTGCCGTAATACGTCCTTCTACGGAACCCTTTTTCAAGCGTGGCTTCTCTATCGAGTTATATATGCATCACATGGCGTTCAAGTTAAATGCACCCTTTGAAACAAAATATTGGCGGCAAAGTTTCGTTTTTGGGTAAAATTTGTCACGTTTTTTTCTCCACGGAGTGAAAAAATAGGCGGTCGTGAGAACTTTGTCCGGGAAAATATTTTTTCTAAGCGGAAAGTTAAGTGTCATGTGATCATACATACCTTTTCAAAAAAACTTTGCTCATTCAAAATTTAATCAATCTGATTTCTGAGTGTAGATTTTCACTTAAATTCACTCATTTTCTCTCAAACTCATTTCACTTCACTTCATCCGGCTTCATTTTTTACTTCCCCCCAAGTATTAAACATGTATTTGGTGTGAAAAATGAAAGGAGTGAAAAATCATTTGATTCACAATCACTTCGATGAAATGACTGAATCTTATTTTCATTCAAATCACAAGAAATTCATTTTCATTCACTCCCTATCATAATCAGTCACATGAATAAAAGTGAACAGGTATGCACGCGATATTTAATTTTTGGTTTAATTTTTTTAATACCTCGCTCCACAAGGTGGCATTGTTCGTACTTAAAAAAAACTTACCGTGGCCGACGTGCCGTTTCCGCAGTCACCCCAGTTATTTCCGGCGCGATAATTCCACTGAATGATGCAGTGGTTGCACCTAACTCCGGAGGGAAGTTGGAGCTTTGATCGCATCAATCCTGTCGGCCCAGCGGGCAGTTTGGTCGTCCCGGAACCGGGTCCACCGCCAGCAATTCGGAGCACGTTTTGGTTGAAACAGGCCTGAATACAGCAAATGGGGTAAATTAATGGACAATTCATATTCATAGTCATTCATAGTCATTCATAGTCATTCATAGTCATTCATAGTCATTCATAGTCATTCATAGTCATTCATAGTCATTCACAGTCATTCATAGTCATGCATAGTCATGCATAGTCATTAATAGTCATTCATAGTCATTCATAATCATTCATAGTCCTTCATAATCATTCATAGTCATTCATAGTCATTCATAGTCATTCATAGTCATTCACAGTCATTCATAGTCATGCATAGTCATGCATAGTCATTAATAGTCATTCATAGTCATTCATAATCATTCATAGTCCTTCATAATCATTAATAGTCATTCATAGTCATTCATAATCATTCATAGTCCTTCATAATCATTCATAGTCATGCATAGTCATTCATAGTCATGCATAATCATTCATAGTCATTCATAGTTATTCATAGTCACAGCTAGGTAAAATATGTAACTTTGTTAAATCATTTTACATCCTTTTACAAAATCTGGCAAGTATACAAAATTAAGTTGGTCACTTAATTTTCCATAAAAATATTTCTCAAATGTTGTAAAAGTTGACATACATAGTTTAAAAATTTGGCAATTTTGCCGAGCACAAACCTGATTTTCGGTCTGTGGGTTGGTACAAAGGCGGAATTCCATCGCACCCAAGTGGCTCACGGTCAACTCGACTTCAATATCGATGATCTAAATACATACATACATTCGTAAATAAATTTGAATTTTAACTATTTATAAACATATACTAGTTTATGTAAAAGATCGTACAACAAATCTCTAAAATTTCTCCTACCTGGCCAGCCGAATAGTCTCCCGTGATGATGCCTCTGTAAAACGTGCCTCCAATCTCGTTCGGTCGTGGAGCTGAGGTGGACGAAGAGTCGCCACAAACGCCTATTTCAATATTACAATATTACCTTACAATGGAGGTCTCATTAACGTATGCTCACAGATTTGGACCAAATTAGCGTCAATCGATCACAAATATGATTAGAATGAAATTTGCAAATGACACTATCCGCCAAATGCGAAGATATTTGCATTTAAAAGGGGGCAAAACGCGCAAAAAGTCGGGCAAGTTTTGTATTTTCCAAATTTTCTGCGCATTCTAATCGTATTTGTGATCGATGGACGCTAATTTGGTCCAAATCTTTGAGCATACGTTGGGAGACCTGTATTGTTAGTCCAAATTCTAAAGTCTTATCTAACCCTTGTCACCTCATCTTACCACAGTTGTTCCCTGGATTGTCAGCCTGATGCAGTCCACCACAGTACAGCTCGTTATCGCTGTAATTTGGGGGTGGATTTTGTCCAGCAAATTCGGGCACACGCCAAATCGAGGAACGGTTTGGAGGCTAAATTAATATGTAATTTTTAAAAAAAACATCATAAATCCCACGTGCGGATTTTGAGTTTAAACTACCTTGTCTCAACTTTCCCTCGTTCCATATATTCAAATGGAGATCTAGAAACCTAATCATCTCCGTGTTTTTTGTACAATATGAACATTTCAATGCGCCTAAACCTCGATAATTTTTAGGTTTACAAACTTACGAGTTTTTCTTCCATGAGAAAATATTTTTACGCTATTATTATTTTTTTATCTATTTTATATTTATGGAAGAAAAAAAAAACTCAAAATTCTACACTCGTAACTTTCTATTGTAACAAACCAGCGGAGATGAATGCATACATAGGTTTCAAAATCGCAATTTGAATATGTAAATGGACCAAGGGGAAGTTGAGACACCCATATACAATACCACCAAAAACGAAAAATTTCAAGAAAACGTAACAAATCTTGTCAATAATTTTATTATCCACACCTTCATGAACCTTCCGTGAGCGTCAACCTAAACAAGTCAAGTTTTTTTTTTAATGAAAAACGAAATCTTTTAGGGAAACACAATTTTTATTTTTACTTACCGCGATTAAGACGCCGCCACTCAGGACGAGCGCGAAGACGAACAAGTGTTGCATTCTGAAAGAAAATACTCAACCGTGGTTTGAATGTTACGGTTTTTGGAGTAATTGTGCCTCAACATTGGAGACTATGCAGCCTTATATGTCCAGCTGACGTGGAGAGAAGTAACGCTTGCAAATTCTGGAGAGGTGTGCACATTTTATAAGCAGAGTCCGGCTAAATATGTGTTTCAAAAATCGCGAAATAAATACTTGTGTAAAAAAAAACTTTTAAAATTTATTTTACGCAAATTTTTAATTTAAAAGCTTGTATATTTCAAAATGACAAACTAACAACATCCTCGCGTGCTCTTTAATTATTAATCCAATTTATCTAATCGGTAGTCCGCCTTAACTATTTATGTACGGCAAATTTGTGAGGTTTGTCTTGCAGTATAAATGTGTACATATTTTAGGATGACATATATTTATGTATATGCAGAAACATTTATATTTACCAAAAAAATATATATTCGGAAAAATTGCCGAATATTTTGTACATGCCAAACAGAGTGGAAATCAAAGTTTTGTAAAATTTGTCCAACCGTTTTGAAAATCCTAATTGTTTTGTCATTCTCTTTTTTTTACTCAACCTTAGTTGAATTTGGAACAACTCTTATTTAGAGTGTACATACATGAAAAGACATATTTATTCATATGTCTCAACGCCTCGAAATTTGTAAAATAATCAGAGATGCGTTATTTAAATAAGTTCTTATTTAAATAATGCTTAAATAACGCTTGGAAATTATTTATTATTTATTATTTAAAAATAAATAAGTGTCCTTGATTATTTATTATTTATTATTTAAAACTGCATAATTGTTGATGATTATTTATTATTTATTATTTAAATAATTTCCAATTGACGGTTTTTCTATTATTTAAATAATAGCCGTATTTAAATATTTTGTCAGAGCACAATTTGTCGTAATGTTGACAAAAATGCACCTTAATTGAATTTTTTGAACAATAAGATTCAAATTGGTGCATTAAACGCTAAAGCGAGGAGATTTCGCCTTATTATATTTGGTAATTGTTTTGCTGTTTCGGAAAATTCTCCATTATCTGCATCTTCTCAATAATAACTAATTATTTAAATTTTAAATAATTATTTAAATAATTTATTTATTTAATTATTTAATTCTAAATAACCCACAGTCTTATTTATTATTTATTATTTAAATGAAATTAAAATTTTGGTGGTTATTTATTATTTATTAATTAAATAATTTTTGGAACGAAAATTATTTATTATTTATTATTTAAATAATTCACTTATTATTTAACGCAACTCTGAAAATAATTATGCCGAAAACATTTTTCTGACCGTGTGACCTTTGCCTAACCAGCAGCAAGATTCCATAATTTCAAGTAAGTCGGGTTGTTATTGAAAATTTGTAAAATGCATGCATACATAACCATCCTCTGTTTACGTGTGATTGTCATTCGGTATAATAATTGATGATTAATTTGGCATGGTGCATTAGCAACAAATACAATTGTCAAGATAACCCAGGATAAGCCTGATCATCGCATAATTGACAAATTGATGATGACAGGAATTCCCATCCCTAAATGTTTCCATACACTCTAGGAAATCCAGCACTAAAATAATTAATACGTACCACGTGGTATTAATTTATTACCCTAGCAAAGTGGTCTAGTAACATCTCGGTGTTAAATATCAGTAAAAAATACGAACTAACTTAAATTGAATGCCAATCAGTAACAATTTTAATACCGGCAAACCAATAAATACTTGGTTGACTATGCCGAATTTCTAACCGTGTGATTCGACAAGTTAATAACATTCCTTACGTACTTTTGACTTATTCGCATTGCGCATTTCTAAAAGTGCAACGTGCAAAAGATATGCACAACTATTTATTTGCAAAGATAAATACACCACCAATTATTTGTGGCTGTTCAGCTGTCAAACTGATTGTGATGTAACGCAGTAATTAGGCACTCAATCAATGACCAAATGCATTTGATTACTTCACTCGATTGGCAAATGGCTTTTTAGATAAGCTTAATTAACAAGTCATCTCATCCCATCCATCAATCAGCATTTGCTAAATAAGTACTCTTTACATAAACAAATTCCATGCTTCGTTACAAACATATTTTGTCAATAAATTGACTTGCTTAATGAGAGCAATGGGCAGATACGTTCTGATCATTGCTTATCTTGCATCTTACAATGAAACTTTCCTAGCGTATGCGCTCCAATATTCTCCAAATTATGTAGTTTAAATAGATCACAAATTTAATTAATAAGAAATTTGCAAAAGGCACGATCTCCCACTCGGCACGTTTGGCAGAGATATTTGCATCCGGAGAAGGGAAAACGCTTAGTAAATTTAATAAGTGCAAAACTTTTTAACTTGAGAGGCTCATATTCCTACATTTTGGACGCAATTTTCTCCGCCAAACCATTGGCAAATCCGCCTTTCGCTAGTTTGGTATTAAATTTGTGATTTTGGAATTGTCCAGGGTTTTACTTTACCCACCTTTTGAACTTAATCCCAGTGGGTAAAATAGAAAAAATGGGGAAAATGGGTAGGAAAGTTTACAGTAAGTTGGTGCACCAACATCACCATTGGGGGTAGTTTATTTTCCTTCTTTTGCCCTGTTCTTACTGTTTATTAAATAAACCACTCGATTTTTTATTTTACCGGTAAATATTTAATTAGGTTTAAAATTGGCAGTTTAGTAAAAATAAAAATTACACAATATTTTATATCAGAAAGAGAGTCAGTAATTATATTTCCTATAATTTTATAGTGCTCTCGTGTTATTCAATATGTATAAATAACTTTGTCTTTCAAGTTGAGAGTGAAAAAGTGAATCGTTCTGCCTCAAAAAAGTATTTCCCCATTTTTTTCATTTTCCCCACCTACGGGGCTTTGGGGTGGGTGGCTAAAACCCATTTTACCCACCCTATTTTCCCTGACATTGTCAGTATAGGAATAAATTGACTACATTTTTTAAATACAATTTTTTTTACTTGGATATTTTTACTTTTGATCCACGTGCAGTGCTCGCAATGGGTCGGGTCCCAGGTGTGACCCGGACCCAGACCCGACCCGGACGCGGACCCGAATTTAGAAACGGGTCTTAGGACCCGTTTCACGCCGGGTCCAAAACTACTGATCCGGACCCGAGGGGTCCGGGTCCGGGTCTTGAAATTTCTAGACCCGGACCCGAGACCCGCGTCTTCCTTTCTAATATTACATTCAACGCTGGAGCTTCCAAGTAACCTACGTTGATGCCTTTAGGATATGCTGCAGTACTAGTTCTAAGGTGTGCACGAAAACTGAAGGGTTATTCTCGATGGCACCATCTGCGCCCACGACATGCCACGCCCCGTCAAAGGAATTACAGTCACGAAAACAGCTGCATTCAAACGTTTGTCAAAAATTCAAGTTTCGCTTCCTTTTGGTAATTTTCCTAGTTTTCCTGATCCTATATTTTTGTTTTTTCATTCAAGATTGGACTAAATTTTTATTTAAAAATTATTTTCTAAAATTTCCTCACGATGTTTTCGAAAAAATCAAAATTTATAAAAGTTGAGTTTGATGTTGGAAATTAAAAAGTAACTACATATATGCGATGAAGAAAGTAAAAGAAATCAAAATCAAGGATTAATGTTAGATTTCTGGTCATGAAAAGGTCAAAAACTTATTCACATTCTGTGTCTTTGAGTGGGCGCAAATTGGGTCCTCCTTGACTTTTCGTACACTAATTTACAGTTAGTGCTACAATATGTAGACACATATTTAAGCATTGACAGTGTCATAGTTATCTTTAACGAAGATACCTACATATAAATTTTGATCAATAACGATTCAAACTAGATATCCCCCACCATATTTTGATCACATTTTAACCAACAATCCAAACACGGCCATTGTCTTGAATCCAGTTTATGCCAACCTGACACTTTCAATACTTGACATGGCGGCTAATCCGCTCACGAATATCCGGAGAAAGTCGGGTTGGGCATCCGTCTCATTTCTGCCCTCTGTTCCCGGGGATTCCAAACGAAAATACTTTATGATGCAGAGAAAAATAGTGTACATTTTCAACCCAACTTTTATATTCCAACATACCGATAACCCCTGGGATTCATCAAGTTACCAGGATTATTCCTACCACAATGGTATCTCAAAACTCATCCTCTTCAATGTCAACTATCCTGACGACATTTTCATACCCTGCATCCCATGCCTTTACTCTGTCCGTATAAAATTGAGGTCCACCCCTCTCCCAAAAATGGAATCAGTTTGGTGGACAAAAAATATTAATTTACTCCAAAAGAAGGTGTTATACAACAAGCGTGTCAACGTAAAACATATCAACTGCGAAGTTTACCATGTGCGACAAATGTCGTCTAAGGACTGTAAAATTGTGCACCTTTCTCAAAGCTTGAACTTTTCCATAGCCGGGGTACCCCATACCTTTGAAGTATATGTATCAATGCTGGGTACTGACACTTATAATGCTAAACATGGTTTCATGATGCCATACTCGGTTAAGTACAATTCTGTTCAGTTTTCCATTATAACGCAATACCCGTCCGGGTTGGAAAGCATGGCTGCGTTTTTGCAGCCGTTCAGCCCCCCCGTCTGGGGGGTCCTGTTACTTGGCTGTATGACCATATGTTTGGTGGTGCAAGTTACAAAGGAGGACATGACTTTGATCGAGGTTACCTTTGATATGATAAACATAGTCGCCCTCCTCCTTGGGCAAGGGGACAGTTCGAGAATATGTCACAACAGAAGGACTATTGCTGCACCAATAGTCGCAGTTTGGCTACTTTGTGGGTGCTACGTTATCATGGAAAATTTATACACGGGCGAGATATTTTCATATTTGAGTGCCATCAAGCCTCCCCATGTTCCCGAAACATTGTCCCAACTGGTCGACTCGGACATTCCAATAATAACGACCAGCTCCTACTTGGGATATGGTAGTTCTGGATCTATTTTGACGAGCAATACAATCCCGCAGTACATTAAGTTTTACCAGGATAGGAATAAATCCGTCGAACTACTGGTAAAGCTAAAGAGGAGGCTCACTTTTGTCCATGCGGTTGGCTCCATTCCAAACGTGGTAGAATTCTTATCTAGTACTTTGGCCTCAAAATCTCTCGCGCATTTCAACACATCCATCGATCCTCGTCAAACGTACGCCATTATGGATGATCATCATATCTTTGAACCTACATCGACCCTCTTAAGAATAAATGGCAGTCGGTCAGTATTAAATGGGAAGGATGCCACCCCCTTTGTTTCTCTCTGGTGCGACTTACGCTTTAGAAACTGGTTGTCTCCACTCCTTGATAGAAAGCTGGGGCAACTCGAAGTCTCCGGCATGGCGGGGAGATGGGACGAACTCCAAAGAGTAACTAATGTGCAATTAATTCTAAGGCTAATTAGGGATCCTGCGTATAAAAGATATTCGAAAGGGTTCCGGCCAAATAGGGAGTCAGCAAAGGAAGTCCCTATTCAACTTAAGGCGGTGAAATCAATTTTCATTTTGTCTTTATTTCTTTTCCTTCTTGCCCTCACTAGTTTTGGGGTTGAGGGTAGAGTTTGGGTGGCCTGTTTTCTTTATAGAAACTATCAAACAGTTAAAAAGTATTGGGCTGGTATTAAGTTATTTGTGAAAGATAAATTAGCACATGTGAATAAATTAGCACATGTGAATTTTTAAAAGTTTCTAATAATTTTGAAATAGTTGCAATTACTAGTAAATCTAGCATGGATATCTCTTGAAGTTACATATGTCTCGATTGTGTCACAACATGGAGGAGTGGTTGAGGGTATGGTTCTTGGTTCTTGTGAAATCTCCAACAGCAATTAAAATGCCAAAAACCTTTGACACCTTCTAAAACTTTGAGTGGCCGTTAAAATTAATGAAAACAATTTGAAACTCTAAAATGATTTCAATAAATCGGTAGTTCAATTTCCATCTGTATTACTCTGTAAAAATTATCAGTAAAAATTTTGCATCTTATGGAGATAAATTAAATGTACTCAATTTTTAAGTAAGGTAAATAACGTAAACAATTTCATTACTCCAACTTAGTGAACACCTTCGTCCTATAACGACAACATCAACGTAACATCAACCCGGTTAATTTGAAACATTTCCTCTACCGTAAAATACTTTTCAACATGTATTCTGCACATGTCGCAAAAAATCATTGCAAAAACGCCCCCATCTTCACCCAATTCATACAAAGTTTAACCAACCCAACCCTTTGTCTCTTCTCTTTCACGCAATCCTACAAACTGACACTGTTAAGGGGACGTTCATAAACTTCATAACGCAAATTTTTGCTTTTTTTAGATACCAACCCTCGCCTATGTCTCGCAGGTGTCACAAAAATTTGTATCCCATCCCCCCCCCCACTGTCACGTAACGCATGTGTCTAATTATTCAGCGGTTGAGGGTTTTAAGGTTCTAAGTTTTAACAAATTGTCAGGGTTGGTTTGGTTTGGACAAAAACCATACAGTGGTTTGACCACATTTGCGCCCGCCACACCCACTCAAAGACGCCCAAAAAACGCTTTCACTCCAGCTTTCACCTTCTCAAGTCCAGTTCAAAAATCCAATTTTACACGGATTTTGAAATTTCTTTCATAATTATACTCTCCGTCTGGGAATATCAGAAAGCAACTATCTGGGACTCCTATATAGTTATTTTCTGATATCCAACATCAAACTCAACATTTCTAAATTTTTAGTATTTTAAAAATTTAAAATTCTGAATGAGCATTATAGTAGTAATCGACAGAACAAATTATGCTTGCGAAATAATCATCAAAAAATAAAGTAAATTTAGAACTCGTCGGCAACACTATGATATTTTTTTGCCCAAAAACAATTTTGACGAATGTTTCTCAAAATGTGTCAAATTTCTAGTAGATAAAGAATCCGTAATAATAATTGCGGGGTCAGGGGAGGCGCTACGTGTCAAAATGTTTAAATGTATGGAAGTATGGCCTTGCCTTTGACAACGTCCTACAACATCGTAAAAATTGCGCACGGCTTGTTGGCCTTAAATCGGATTTGACCCGGGTTAAATCGGATTTGAGTAAATGGTAAGACGTAAACATGGCAAACATGGATAAGCGAGGCTGGGTTAGATGCTGGAATAATCTGTGTGCGCAGAATAAAAGAGAATAATACATGTATGTATGTATATTTATTTATTGCATTTGATTCATCATTCATTTCACATAGTTTTGTTTTATGACCATGTGATGTACCTTGTCAACTGGGTTGAATCTAATCTGGAGTTTGACTTGAACTTTTCACCTTGTTGAGCAAGTTTGCAATCAATTACGTAAACATACCTACAAAAGTTGAGATGTTGTTATGCTCGTATAAATTTATGGGGGTACACACACAGAGAGAAGAAAACAGCGATGTCCTCACTGTGCGGAAATATATCACTCAAATTCTGTCACTTACACATGCATGTAACAGCAAATTCTGCGAAAATCAAATTTTCTACCACGCTGGCAACAATTCTTACAGGATTATGATAAATTTAAATTTCGCAGAAATATTTGTTACTCTGTGGCGACAAAATCATAACCGGTGTGGTAGAGCCGCATAGTGACTACACGCGTTGACGATTTTATTACCAAATTATTTTGAGTGTATGAATTTATATACACTCCATTTTATTAAACTACCGTGTAAGATAAGTTAAGTTTTTATTGCAGCATATTATTACGTTACGCTTGAAGGGGGGGGGGGGGATGGGTGGAGGGGGTTACGCCCCAATGATCGTGCCTATGTACGCCATGTTAAAGGGGGGAGGGAGGAGGTTTAGAAAATCAATTTCAAGCGTTACGTAATTTAAGAACGGCCCCTAAGGCCCATAAAGGTACAGGTGTACGGCTTACTATAGTAACACGATTCACTTTTTAACAATCGTCTATAGACAATCGAACAGGTTTCGCATGCCAATTCCCAATCTGTCGATGTGTCACATTCTGGAAACTCAAACCTTTGTAGGGAACGTCGAATTTCGGGAGGTGGTATTAGCATTTTATCGATAAGTAGTGTACCTTTTTTATGCAAACTAGGATGTCATAAAACGATTTATGTTGAGGATGTAGCATAAATTGGGAGTTGTTATCGTAAAACATTACGATTAAAAGTAATGAATCATCCTATACAGTTATGTAAATGTGAGTCCCTATAATCGCGCTTAACCCTCAGTACATATGTACGTATGTATGTGTGCATGCGGTTAGGGAACGTCCATACATTACGGCATCATTTTAATGGGTTGGTAGTTTAGGTCTTCCTATCTTTCCCATGTTAAAATTCCCTATCCCTTAATGCTTACGTTGGTTGGGTGGGTACTAACCATAGAGAATTTTTGATGACGTAATGTATGAATGGTCCCTTACATATTACGCTATTTATCCGTCTCGTTTATCTCTGTCATGGTTATATACGTCTTACCAGTAAGTTAATCACTCTCCTTAACCTCTTGACGACCAAGTACACACATTTGTATAGTACTTTATTTACCATTGGGGACGGAACATACAAATTGCGCGTATCGCATAAACTTCCCTGACAGCGAAATTTCTCAAAAATAAAAATATTTCTTTGGTATTTTGTGTCAAACTCGATGGTAAAAAGTGGACTTTTTTGGGTATTTTTCTTCACAAATTTTGGAGTCCCTATAGCGACCAATGTTAAAAAGTGAATTTTTCGTGTCTTTCGTCAAAAACTCGAAAAAATTGGAAAGTACCTGAAAATTTTAATTAGTTGCTATCAGGTGTAATTATGAAATTAACATCGTACCGGTGGGAAGTTTTATTAAAAATCAATATGGTCAAAGAGGTTAAATGGTAAATATTATTGGCTATAAAAATATTTTATGTAATGCGTATTTTCTTCTGGATAAAAGTTGGGGATCCTTCCTACTTTGTACTAGTGTTACTTCACATTCGGTATAGAGTGGAAACCCAGCTCCAGAAAATAATTCTTGATTTACAAAGAAGGATTTGATCAAATTCATTTCAAGGTAAGCTTGTCCCTTATTTTGCAATCATAACGGTACCTGAATGGCTGACAAGGAAGTGAAGAAGGAAAATTCTTCAAACGGGAAATTTGAAAAACTCAATTAATAAAAAATTATCAAACACGTAAATTTAAGCATTTCCTGTCAGGAAAATTTCAAAAAAAGGACAAAAATTTGTGTCTTAAAAACAGTCACAAATTTTTATCATGCCCTTTTTGTCGCTCCCAGTCTTATGGTCACAATTTCAGTAATAATAACTGATAATTTAAAATTGATTGCGAATTTTCTGTAATTGAAGAAATGAAGACGTCAACTTTGGGAGGGATTTTTCTCCTCATATTTTGCATTATTGCTTCTCAACCCACCGTTTCTGGGCAGGATTGCTTCGAAGCTTGGAGTCGTTGCACGGGTTGGAGCAGTGGAGGAACGGGAATTTTGTGGAAGAGTTGTGCAGGCCGGTGTCGATTATGCCAGGGACGTGCCACAGGTTGGTAAATGAATAAGTGAGGGGCTGTTCTTAAATTTCGTAACGCTTGAAGGGGGGGAGGAGGGGGTTTAGACCCAGTGATGTCGTGCCTATGAGTGCCATGTTAAAGGCTCGAGAAAATCAATTTTTAACGTTACGTAATTTAAGAACGGTCCCTGATTGAAAACCTGATGCTGAAAAATTCATACTTTAAGACATATTTACGATGACATTTAGGGGCATGTGTTCCTGTGAATGGGCCGTGTGGAGCAAGGTCACAATGCCAATGCTCAGGTGGGAATGTTCCTAAAAGTACCAATTATTTGGATAGGATTACCTGTCGATTTGGTCTGTAGGATGTGTCTAACCGTTTGCTCCGGTTTAAATTGGTTTTATGAAACAATAAAGAAGGAAAGGTTAGCCTTAACGAAGGTGTGGAATAGTTTTGTAAAAAAAATGCGAAAAGCTCAAAAATTTATGTACGTTGCAATTGTTCATTTATGTAATTTGAACGTTAATATTTATTTTGAACAAATTTTTATTGAAATTTTGTAAAACTCAAAAAAAGCATGAAAAGATTTGTTTGAACGTTTCGAATTTGGTAAAATTTCAAAATTCGGATTTACGGTAACAACCAAATTATCAAATAATCTGAATGAAATTATTGTAATTTCGTATTAAATAAAATATTTGCATTTTTGTGTATTTATGTATGATGTCTACCTTTTTTCCTGCCCATATGTTTGGAAAACCACGTTATACCTTTCGGAATTCCTCATTCCAGCAAATTTAAACTTGTGCCTCGGTGGGAAGGGGACCTCCAACTCGGTTACACCCAAACCCTACGATTTGCTCTCCTGGTAGGAATTAATCATACTAATCTTTGGGGTAACACGACCTATTTTCGAGAAAATCGACTCCACAATCGGCCAAAACGCCACTTTCCATGTCAGATGTTCAAAGTCCAAACACTTTCTTATTCTGTTGGCGCATGCTTAGTGGGTGGTGCCGTGTATCCATAACCGTTTTCACGTCCTTATCCATGAAACAATCTTCGAATCGAATAACCCCTTCAATATAAATATATAATGACATGCCTATTAGAATACTTAGTTTCATTCGAAAATAAGTCATCCCGATTTCTGTATATTTTCATTTACATTCAGTCATTTTCTATAAAATTCTTTTCGCTTCACTTCATCGGACTTCATTTCTTACTTCGCCATAATGAACTTTTCCATGTTTTGTCATATTAACCCGGAATTAAACTCATAGAATTTTTATTTTCCTTGCCAAATTCATTGGTAAACTTACCATTTTTCAGAGACCTGCAACCAGGGAAATGCTACCCAAATATGTCACTAATACAATACATGTAGAAATCTCTGTTATCTCGTCTACATAAAGTGGCCTGGATAGACCCTACAGTACAGTTTGTTGACGGTGGAGCAATCCTGTTGACTAGCACGTCTTTGTCCTTCTACATTATACTGACCTCCAGTGATCAGCTCCCTTTGTCTGTTTTGGCGCTATTTTCAGTCGTAGCTTTCGATATAATCGTATTGATACAATTTCTATGCAAAATTTTGTCATTTCCATACACCAAATCCGTAAACTTGATTAATACAACAAGACGAGGAATAGTAAAGGTGTGGAGATGGGAAACGAAATATATTATGTCATCCGCCCCATTGAAAGTGGAGTTGGGAAACGATGCGTTTTTCGATTGATGGATATCACTCTCAATTTTTAAAATTGCTTTAGATTTCCTTGTCACGCTTTTGCTACTTTAAACTAAGCTACACTAGTGCCACAAATACATGTTAAAGAAATAACTTGCCTCTTATAATAATTATTTTCCATTAATGATAATATAAATTCACTCACAAGAGAAAAACTATGTTCGAGCTTTGATGGATTGAAATTAAGTTGGATGAACCTTTTGTGTCGTAAGTTTAGGTAACACAATTTTCCATGAATATCCACAATGGAAGATTTAACAATACAGTATGTCCCTGCTATGTGTAGGTATTTGAATATAAGATTGAGGCAATAAACGATTCATTGAGCTCTATTGAATTATTTAATTTGTTCCAGTAATAATTTAAAATACGTATTTACAATTTTATTTAGAACCTTTTGTATATTACAAAAATTTCTTGTTATGTATCTATTGAAGAATTTCCTTCCGATATAATCTTGTACATTCATGCATTCACATTGTCTATTCAATTTTAAAAATTGAAAAATTGAATTTGCATTGAACTTTTCCAACGTTTTCAGGTCCAGTAACTACAAGAATGTGGGTTACTCTAGTTATGCTGATGTCTCTAAATTACTTCGCTATGTCAGCAGCAAATCCATACGTCATCAAGAACTGCCTCTATCACTTCGTAAACGTGATTGGAATGTCGACGTTTCTCGCCACAAGTGGTAATCAGCATCTTATTAGCAATTTCACCAATCCAAATTCCTTGAGTTGGAAAACATTTCTGTACACACGAACACTAAACTGCAAGGTTAAAATGTTACCGGTCAATATACTTAGTTCATCCTTGGAAGAGGACCTAACTGCGCTTCTCGGGCACTTGACTACCGCTAAGGCTATATTTGAGAACCCAGATTACATTGTATTTTATCTTAAGGCTAATTTGAGCAAAACCCCAAACGAGTTTCCAAATTTCTTTAGGGCCTTATTAACTCTAACGGTCACCTCCAAATTCTTTGTCGTCGATCCGACGAGCACATTTCTTCTTAATCTTCAAGAAGCTAGCCTATCTCGTATTGATCAATCCCACTTAATAAGTCAAATCTGGCGTGCGCGTAACACTAATTTCAAGGGTGGTCCGGTCTCCGTCCCCAAACTCCGTACGTCTTACGAATATTTTGGAGTAATTTATGGCAAAGGTGTCGTCTGCGAATTGGGATACAAATATTCTTCCAGCGGTCTCTACTGTCTCCTACACAGCATTTCGGACATCCTTAATTTTACCGCGTTTGACTACGTTTTCCAACGTGACAAAGTTCCGGGTACCCCGCTACTAGCAGTAGTTAAGAAAGACGGACACCAAGTTCTTCTCGACGCCCTGAATAATCCAAACAATAAAATGCAGGTCGTTTCCCACTTTTACAACGTTCTTCCATTTGGCTTCGTTCTAGTAATTGATAAAGCTGAATTTAAATTTCAAATCCGATTTTATCATTTGACGTGACTACTTGGATCGTACTTTTTGCAACTATTGTAGTAATTAGTATTTGCATATGGGTAGAGAATGGGATAATTTGTAATGGCATACTAAATTTTAAGGATCTCCCCCTTCTAACAGTATCAAGCACGCTGACTGAGCAAAGTTTATCCATTCGTTTGTTAAAAAAAGACCAGTCAAGCTTAAGCTTTTCGAATTACCTACTTCTCATTTGGTTTGTTGTGAGCATCGTTCTCATTGGAGGTTTCCGAAGTGCTTTTTATCGCTTCCTTACTAGCTCCGTCCCACCGACGAACGTCCCCTCAACCCTGGAAGAACTTATGACGTCCAAGTACACAATGGTGGGGTCTGACTCATTTTTACTTGGTATGGATAGTGGTCCCGCCGTAAACATTTTAGAGTATATACTCAACAGCTACCTGGCTTCTTCTGAGGACGAAGATGAAAACGAAGACGACAACTAAGATCAAAGAGTTAATGGCAAAATCAGTACTAGAGAAATCCGGCGTAGATCAACATTCGATTCCCAAGTCTGTTGGCATTTGAGTTTTTACATATCTTCACTCTAAATAAGAATAAACTGTCGTAAAAGCACATAGGGAATTAGCTTCAGCCTCACTTCACCTAAAATTAAAATCCCATTTTGCCCCGACCACACCCGCTGGGTGCGAGGGGGTGTGGTACACCTCGGGAACACTTAATTTCACTCTATATCATTCATGTTGGATTTTTGGATTTAATAAAGCAACCATCTGGGAGTATAAAGGTGAAAGAAATTTAAAAATCCGAGTAAAATTTGATTTTTGACGTGCATTTGAGTGAATGAAAGCTGGAGTGAAAGTGTTTTTTGGGCGTCTTAGAGTGGGTGTGGCGGGCACAAATGTATGAGGGTCAAAAGCAGCAAAACTCATACACATATACAAGTACACTTTCTGCAAGTACAGATTTTAACACGCATATACGTACTTGTGCTACACAAGTACGTGCATGTTTTTACACAAGTACGTGTATGTTTTTACACGAGTACGTGTATATTTTTACACGAGTACGTGTATATTTTTACACGAGTACGTGTATAAAGTATATACACAAATACGTATAAATATATGCACAAGTACCTGTAAATATATACACAAGTACGTGTATGTTTTTACGCGAGTACGTGTATAAATATATACACAAGTACGCACATTAGAAAATTCAATTTCACAATTCCCATATGCAATTTGGGACATCGCATGGAACGCGACCCATTTTTTGAATTACATGCTAAATGCTGTCAATATTACGACCATCAACAAAAATTTGATAACTAAGGAAGCCGAGCAGTTTATTTACTGGAGATTCGAGAATCAAGGCACCGTGCAGAATACCACCCTCGCACACTGGTACGAATTACCAAATTCCTTGGCCAAAACCTATAACTCGATAAGCTTTCGAGTCCGGCAATTACCCAACCCGCAGTTGGTGTATAAGGTAGCAAGCTACTTGTAACCTATTAAACAGCTAGGTTGGTTACACCCCCAAGTTGGGGAGGGGCAAAGTTTGAGCATATATTCTTAATCAATTTCATTGAAAACTGAAGCTCACAGTACTCCGTCATTTGTTGACCGATTTGGAAAATTCTGCCGGTTTCGAAAACCTTGGACCCTTCTGCGAAATATATATTTCCAAATTTTTAAAATAAGGTCACACCCACAGGAAATTCAGGTTACTATGTCAAAAAATGTGTAAACGTAATCAAATACTACAATCATGTTTCAAAACGTAAAAAAATCTTTGATGTGCAAGATAAAGGCCAGGACCCGGGTACCCTTCTAACATATAAATTGGTTAACTGCCCCACCCCTCTGCTTGTGGCCCTCTGGGTGTGGCCCTCTGCGCCCAGGTCAGGTTTTTCGTTCTATGGTATGCGATATATCATTTTTCGCAGCCGGGCAAGGGGATTTCGACAGACCATTAAAAATTTAACAAACCACACCCGCAGGGGGTGTGGTCTTTGCCGACCAAATCAAGGTATTTGTAAGATGGCATTAATCCGAAATTTTCACAATCATAATGAAGCCATTGCGAGAAAACATGAAATCTTCGAAGCATGCTTGTGTGGTGTAATCTTCGTAACAATCATTTATGTATGCACGTGTTAAGTAAGTTAAATGGCATGATAAATTATCGGCATATTATGGTCAAATACAAACGTTTCCAACAAAACGGTCTATCAAAAAATAATCATTCCAAAATATTAAATCTATAAACCTTATTTTTGGTGATCTTTAATTTCATAAATTAATGATTAATAATTAATTTCAGAAAATATACTAAAAGTTGAAGGTGTTAATGGCCCGATTGGGTTCAGAAACAATCAGACATCTCCGAAATTTTACGGCTTTACGTATTGTAACAGTTTGTTTGCTCTACATTGCTGGCCGAAACCTATAGCTCGCCGGGAATTTTATTTTTTCCATATTCTGTTGTCGGAAATAAAAAGACGAGGTTC